TGGTGGTAGACACTGTTCTCCACACAATATTCCAAACATATGAGCAAAATACCCCTGTATGTGAATAGAAAAATACCTTACCTTCGCCAAAAAAGTGAGCACACAGTAGAATATTCTGTTAACAAAGAACCTAGTCCAGTTCTCGATAAAGGCATTCTGAGTCAATAAATAAGTGAATGAAATAAAATTACATTTTAAGCTCAAATATAGACATTTAATGCAAGACATTTTAAACACTGATACAAGAACCTCAAATTACCCTAACACCATCTCACTAAAATCTTCCCCCACCTCCAGTTATTTAAAACTGACAAGGAGTTTTAATGATATTATAAAAACAAAACATATTAGGAGCCAATACCTGAACCCACAGTGGGTATTGCCAAGGACATCAGAAATTCCGATCCAGCACTTACAGAATATGCTAAACTTACATATCTCAAATGGGGACAACAAAAGTGAGAGATTCAAGGATTGGTCCATTTTCAAAATGAGAAACATCCCACCTGTAGATGGCTGATCACTATAGTCTACCTAATCTGATTTATACTGGGTGGTTTTAAAACCATCCCTAACCCCAACCCCCTACCCAACATACCTTCAATCTCTATGGACTGATCCTTGACACTAAACCTGCACCTTATACAACTCTCCTCCAGGTAAAGACTAGGGAGTGGGCTCCTATTGGCTGTTCCCTGCAAAGTGCTCAAGTACCTCCCTGGTAGTCTAGCGATTGGGTAAAAAAAAAAAAAAAGTGCTGAAGTACCAACAAGTCATCCTCCCACGTGGGCCCATGCTTGACTGCTACAGAGACCTGCCTCTGTCTAGCCATAGTAAGTCAAGCAGGCTCTGCCTCTTTAAAACACGTAATGCCATATTGTATATTTTGAGGCAAAAAATAAATATATGTGCTTATGAATATTTTACTGTATTCAAAGACACTTAATACTAAAGAACAAAGCTTCTCCTCCACCACCTAAGTGCATTCTCAACAGCTGTAAGAGTGAGAATTAAGATTTACTTGAAAATAATGTCTTACCACACAAAAATCTCACTTAATGGATTAACCTCATTAACGTGAAGAAAAGGCAATTGTGATTTCTAAAATGGAAACCCAGGTAGGTTACAAAGATTATCCTACGCTGAAAATATGATTCTTTCCATTCTCGGTGTAATTGTTGAAAGCTCAAATAATAGGCTTACTGAAATAACATACAAGGACTAAAACCTTATGCCTCTATCATTTAGTATTGGAAGTTCCTCTAAGAGACTGCACTTTTTCCCCTCCATCTCAAGAATGACCGAGAATCAAGCCTGACTGGCCTGTCCACTTCAGCAATGCTAGGCTAGCTATAGACTGACTTCCTACAAACATGGATATGGGACGACTTATGTATAGTACAATTTTTAAGAAGTCATGAAGCAACTATTCCATTAGGAGTGGGGAGAGAATAACAGCAATCTAAAGCTTAAAGCTTTTTTACTGATCAGAAAGAGCAAAATAAATTTCTCAAACTGTCCAAGCACAATTTGGAGGTCTTTGAAAACATGCAACGTAGCTATTATAGGACCAGCTCAGTTTTAAACTTTGGAATATAATGAACTACTAAGTTTGTATAAGGCTTTGCTAAACACTTTCCAATACACTGACTCATTAATCCCTTCTGACAAACATTTGAAAAGGTATGGGTTATGTTTTCTCCTTATATTAAAATGAGGAAACCCAGACTCAGACTCAAAAGCTTATCAAGAACTCAGCTAGAAAGTCAAGTCACTCTTTGACAGACAAGATATTGATTTCAAACTGATGATCAGATGTGGCCCTCAATCTCTGCCCATTACTTCAACATCTTTATCTTTTAAGATTATAGTAAATTTCTCATGCGCTAAGCACTTTGATGTCCTACAAATCAAACCGTATATCATGGGTTAAATCATGTTTCCTATATTTGTCACACTAGGACACTATAATCCTATTTATAACATGGTTCTTATCCTGATTCCTTGAAAATAGTACAATGCTCCCAATGGTCAGGAATAGGTATGAACAGGATATTTCAGCTCTCTGAAGTCTCATTAACTGATGCCTGACCTGTAGTTGAATTAACAATTTTCAAAGAGCTGGAAGCAGTGCAATTCATATAACACTAAAATAACATAGAACAATTTAAAGCTGATTTACTGACATAGATCCTTCAGGATCGTATAACACTCTACAGTCAAGATTATGAACTGCAATTATCCCCGGACAGTACCACAGCTATGGAAGGTACAGCAGATTCAGACATATTTATACTGAACCTGGAAGTTGCCTCTTAAAAATCTAATAAAAAGAGTTTACTTTATCATATCTTTTCCTGACGGTAGCATGCCAAAAAAAAAAAAAAAAAAAAAGGGTATTGGGTTATTAGGTATTTGTGGGTAGAACCCAATCCGGATTAAAAAATTCTTACTTTAACATGAGTTGGAATTTTCAGCACTTCACACAAAATCAGAAAGTTGTTGAAATTCCTTTCAGCAAATGAAACTCTAAAATGCAATGGATTTAAATTAAATTCACTAATCAGAAAACTATTTGACCATTTGCCATCAAAAGGATGTCTTGCTGTTTGTTTTAATCTTACATATATTCTTCCCAATTTATGGATGAACCGAGAGTGTTTAATATTTAAATTTTATACTTTGATAGTAAAACAATGATTTTAATTGTCCAGATTAATTCTGCAGCTACATAAGGAAAAGTGAATGATGGTTTACCCGACACTTATGCAGTCATTTGAAAACAACTGCCCAATGAACAGGTGAACATGGATATGAAGGGGTCATATTTTTTTCAACTCTCTATTAGTGACTTTTCATATTGCCTCCTAACTATTTATACTCCTTCATCATACTAAAATAACCAACAAGCTCTGACAACTTCTTCAGCAATTTCAAATGCAATGATTTCCATCAAACAAGAAAATGTCAATTAAAGTTTTTCCAGTTTTAACTATGACATGTTAAGCATTTTTTTAAAAACGATATAATGAACAAATAATGTGCTTATTTTATCCACTCTGTGGGAAAGCAAAGTTGAGCTGCAGCTAACTTAGCCTTTAGGTTCCATATAAGGGCTGAATGTAACTTCTGATAGTGTGGAAGAAAGAAAATTGAATGTGGAGACCTAAAAAGCAATATGACCCAGTTAAATGTGAACAGATTTGGGAGTCAGAAAACTCTACATTTTGCTCTCCAATATGGTAACCACTAGCTACAAGTAGCAATTTAAATTTAAAATAATTAAAAGTAAATAAAACTTAAAATGTGGTTCCTCAGTCCACTAGCCACATTTCAAACACTGGGTTATATGCCTTGTGGCTGCTACATTGGACAGCACAGACAGAACCATTTCCATCACTGAAGAAAATTCTATTGGACAGCGCTGTTGGTAGCTATGTGATCTTTCGTAAGTTACTTAATTTCTGTGAAATCTCAATGCCCTTGTTTGTAAAGTGTGCATACCACCACCTAAATTGACAGACTTATTAGAATTGTAATGAGATAATGTATTAAAAGCACAGGAAATAGTGCTTAGTACATACACATCAGATATCCAAGAACAGCTACTAATACCAACCTATACCAAACTTTAGTCTATAAGGTTGACCCTCAACTTCTCCTTCCTGGGCCTCATTTTCCTAAACTGAAAAGTTTGGTTAGTTATTCTGGGTAACTTCTAAGGACCCTATCAAATGCTACCATGTTAAATGAAATGTTGATCAAAAAAGACAAAAACTCTACCAAGGCTCCTAGAGGTTCCAAACAGATCCCAAGCATTCTTCCAGAAACCCCAGAAGACTGGCTCTCCAATATAGCCCATAGTCTGACGTGAGCTATTTATAAAGTGTCTGTCTTAAAAGATTACCGGAATATCTTTCTGAAATTGTATATTCTGTAATTAGAAGCTACAATCCCCTATTCCATGATGAGATCTTACAGTTTTAACATTTCTTTTAAATGAACACTATGTTTACAGATGAATTTTTTCTCTTAAAACCATTTAAACCAAAATACTTTAAAAGCGCATGTGAGTTTAAAAACATTTTTTTAATGATTTTTTTTTTTAACCAGCTATGCCTCATTCTTAGCCAGCCTATGGGTGCCCCTCTGGTATCTAAACAAAGTGAGAATTGTACCCTCATGGGTGAGGTCCCTTGCAAGGCCAGAAACATGCCCAGAGACTTTACCCTCATCAACAGCTGCTCCCAGGGAGCCAGGAAATTTACTGATCCAGTAAATTTCAGAGAGTCAGCCTCCAATGAGGGGGAACCAAGGGCCCCCCCCCCCCCACAAAAGGCACAAAACCAGGGCTATGGGCTGCAATCCGCTCTGGGGCGTTGTCCAGGGCCCCAGGGTCACAGTTTTAACCTGGGGGTGGGGGAGCAATTCAGCAGCAGAAATCCTTACAGAGCGGAGCAATTTTGCCCAAGGCCTGAAGCCTCAAAAGAAAAAGTGTTATTCCAGAGCAGATTCCTTTTCTTCCGGGTCTGTCTGCTCCTTCTGACTCTTTGCCCATAACCACCGTGCCTCCCCTTTCCCAATGCCCCACCTCTTGCCACATTTATAAAGAAAAAAAAAAAGGAAAAATATAGTAGCACATTCCCTCTCCTTTAGCTTTCCCTAGCAAGGCCTGGAAACTGGAGTAAATTCAAATCAAATTAGTTGCACATTAAAAAATAAACAGACAAGCAATCAGGGGTGCCCACCCAACAAAAGACCTCACCCGTTCCAAAATATGATTAAGCCTGGGAGGGAAGAGGGGGAGGGGACTAGAAACCAGCAGGGATGGAGAGATAAACGTGTGGATGTTTGGCCCCAGCGTTGGCCCATTGCGGCCAAATTCGAAATTTTGTTTAAAGAAAATGCTGAGCTGAGAAGAAAAGAAAATAAAAAGTTGTAACTTTCAAGGAAGTCTGCAAACTGCACTGTCTGGATAAAATGCCATTGCTTCCCTTCGTCTAGGATGGCAGGGTGGGAGCGGAGATTCGAAAAGCTCCAACTCCAACCACGCACTCCTGGAAGTCTCCGCGCCAAGGGCGCCGCCGGCGGCCCAGCCCGGTCCGCGGGACGCCGGGCCAGGGTCCTCGGGCTCCCACGGATTGCCGGGGCCCGGACCTTTGGGAAAGTTCGCGGGCACAGCCCGAGGCCCCACTTTCCGCCCAGAGTGACAGGCCCTTCCCACGCCGGCCGGCCCCCGCCTCGCCGGGGGCACCAGACGGTCCGTCCTGCCCCGGCCCGCCCGCCAGGACCCTCCTAGCCCCTTCCGGGCGTGGATTCCGCCCGCCCGCCCCACCCCCGGCCCGGGCGCCCCTCGAGGTGACCGACTGACCGGAGCTCCACTGGCCCACACACCGGGTCGCCCGCTCCTTCCCGCCGCGCCCCGCTCCCCCGCCCGAGCTTCCAGCCGCTGGGCTCTCCAAGTCCGGCCGCCGCTGCCGGTTACCGCCCCCAGCCCGGGGGGAGCCTAGGGGGCAGGACGGGGAGGGAGGACGTGGCGCGCACCGAAGTGGCCAGCGGCGAGGCGGGGAGTGTCCCGGAGAGGCCCAGCCGGGGGCGGTGGGCCAGGCCGGCGCGCGCTCGGGACCCTCCCCGCGAGCATCCTCGAGTTCGAGGCCCCCGGTCCGCCCCTGGCGGCGCGGAGGGGCGGCCCCAACTTCCAGCCCCACTTTGCACGCCCCCCCTCCTCCCTCCACCATATGGAAATCTACAGCCTCAGAAAGTGACACGTCGAAGATTCCTCGGCCTCGCCGCCGCCCTCCCCCTCCCGGGCAGCGTTCCTGCCGCGGAGATTCCGGGAGGGGGAGCGGATTCCTCGGACAAAATCTGCTGGGAAGGCTGGGAGGGGAAGGAGGCCGAGAGACACAGCCCAGATTTTTTTCTTCCAAGAGGAATCTACCCGTTTCTTTCCCTCCTCCAAACCCTGGCAAGCAGGGGTAAACAGGCGGGGGACCCGAGCCCAGCAAGGCAGCGGCCGCCCCCTCCTGAGTCCCGTGGTCCTGGGGTGCCCAGACGAGCGCAGGGCGCCCCAGCACTCTGGCGCCAAGTTTTCGCCGGGAAGCCCGGAGCGCTCCTGGGACAGGAATGCACTTTGGCGGACTCGGCGTCAGGCCGGGGCTTTCCAGTGAACCGGCACCGGGCGGTCGAGCGCGGGGTCCCAGTCCCCTCAGCCCCCGGCTCCCGCACGCTTACCTTCCTTGGGCTGAAACGCGGGGCTCTGGGCGCGCCACACACCGGGTCGCCCACGCCTTCCCAGCGGCAGCCCGGTGGATCCCCGCCGCCCCCTTCGCTGCTCCCGCCGCCGCCGCTCTCCTCTTCCTCCAGCCGCCGCCGCCGCCGCTCAAATAACTACCAGGAGGGTTTGATGGGGGATTCCGCCATGTCAATGATGTCGAGACCACATGGGGTTTTGGGGCCCGCCCACTGCCGTAAACCGCCGAGTATACCCGCCGCCACAATCCAGAACTCTCGGGAGCTGTAGGGGCCTCGCTTGCCCCCCAGCCCGCCTAGCTAAGCAGAAACTCCTTTTGGTTCCCGGACTAGAGAAGTCTGAGGCTTAGGGGAACAAACAACTCATCAATGGCGAGGGTTGCAAGTTCCAGATCGCCAAAACACCAATATAAAGGCAGAGGTTACTCAATAATAATTAAATCTAAGACTCTGACATTTCTTCATTTACCCATATATTTCCCTTTTTTTGTTGTTACTCCCCACAGCAACTTTGTGAGCTATTTTATCACTCCCTTCTCTGTTTCCCACAGCATTTCGTTCATGCAGCTAACATACATGAGCAAATTTTATTGTACCTGTTAAAACATCTATTTCTCTTTTCAGGATTCAATATGTGCTCTCAAGGGCAGAGACCATCCTTACTCTTACCTGTCAAACATAGCACAGTGCAAGGACCGCAATAGGACTCATTAGATAACTGTTGAGTTTATATTAATTAAACCAAAGGTAATGTATTCCTGTTGTACAGGCTCAAGGAGGTTAACAGATTGCATGACATCCACCCCTCAAATTATCCAGGAGACAAGAGAGCAAAAGTTATTCTAGAGAGGCCCCTTCCATCCATAGCTGCCAAGCTATTCTGAATCACTCCCTCCCTCCCCACAATCTCATAGCTCTTTTCCTCACAATCTCGTAATTCTTTTCAGTTCTTCTCACGTTGCTCTAAAGTCATTCTTTATCCCTTCCACTTGACTGAGTTTTGTTCATTTTTGTATCTCTAGCATCAATCTAGCATTCTCTCTTGAATATAGTACCCCCTTATGTTTGTTGAATAAATTAATTGTAAAGTATATGGAAAAATCTAAATGACTAGATAAATAGGCAAACTTCACAGAGTGAAAGGTTAAATTCAGGTGTTGAAGGACAAGTTTGGCAAAGGAGGTAAAAGTAGGCAAGAGAAGTTTAGAGGACAGAATTATTTATACCTGTTTCTTCCACAAGATTGCATTTCTTCTTATTAAGAAGAAAAAGACAGGTCAGGCCTGGTGGCTCATGCCTGTAATCCTGGCACTCTGGGAGGCTGAGGGGGGAGGATCGCTTGAGGTCAGGAGTTTGAGACCAGCCTCAGCAAGAGCGAGACCCCATCTCTACTAAACATAGAAAGAAATTAGGCAAACAACTAAAAATAGAACAAACTAACCAGGTGTGGTGTGTACCTGTAGTCCCAGCTACTCAGGAGGCTGAGGCAGGAGGATCACTTGAGCCCAGGAGTTTGAGGTTGCTGTGAGCTAGGCTGATGCCACAGCACTCTAGTCCAGGCAACAGAGCAAGACTCTGTCTCAAAAAAAAAAAAGAAAGAAAAAAAAAAGAACCAATATACATAAAATGCTTTATATTTAAAATGCATGTTCATATATATGACCTCACTGTTTCATTTATCTTATCATTCCTAACACTTAACACCAGTTTTGGCACAGCACAATAAAGGTACCCAATAAATGTTTGCAAAATGAGAGGAAGGATGGTATAATGGAAAGAGCATGGAATATAATCAGACAAAAATCAATGATGTTGAGCATGTTGTTAAAGTTCTTTGAACCTGAACTTTCTTATTTATTAAATCATCATATTGCCTTCTTGCTAAGGTTGTTGTAAGGATTAAAAAACTCAAGCACTTGATACTCAATAAATATATATTGGTTCCTCCTTGAATGAATGAATGAATGAGTAAATGAATGAATGAATATGTCTTTCCTGGAAGGATTAATAGGACAGAAAATTGGAAGCTGCAAAGGAAAAGGTGATACTTGTGATGTAGGGTTCTCAACTACACTTTGAGGGATTAAGATTTAATACAATGAGAAAATACTGTGGAACTATAGAGGCCTTAAGTGATTGTAATAGGTTTGAAGGTTAATTATTCTGGTAGTAGGATGTAGAACAAGGCTCAGGTCAGAGAGGCATGCCCTGAATCTACTTTGGAAATGATGAAGACTTAGACCAGAGTCATGGTTCTGGAAATGGGAAGAGAGGCCTCAACCTGAGTCAGAGAGTACTACTATCTGGTGTTGACAGCCCAAATCATTTGCTGCTCTAGGTCCCGAATTATGAAACTGTAGTCATGGCTAAAACTTTGCTCCAAAGTCAACTTAAGAAGTGCTAAAATACAAAAATTAACATCCAAATGAAGATGCCTGGAAGTCAAGGCCTATAATAAAACATACAGACTTGTAAACCCTTCTATCACTCATGTAGTGTAGGCTGAGTCATATTAAAAAAAAAAAGATTCGAAGTCATACTTCTTGATCCCAAATATTTTATAATAAAAGAAATGCAACACTAACACATACGAAAGAGTGAAATTATTGAAACTAGCATTGAAAAGGTCTCAAACCATTAAACCTCTGAATACTTCTATAGTCTAAAATGTTTAATTTTGAACCCGTCTCTCAAAGATCACTACGACTTGTAACACACGATATCTAGGAGACCCAGCTGCATTCTCAGTCTCAATATGCTTCTTCTGCCTTAGCTAGGGTTGCTAGATTCTCATAGGCAGGCTCAGTCTTGCCTCTAATCTTGAAAATCACTGTTGACCTTAGATTGAGGGCATTAACTCTTTGCATCTACTTCTTATTCTAATGGCCCAAGCCAGATCTGATACCAGCTTCAGTATGAACATTGACAAGAAGCCAACTGATCTTGTTTTGAAGAGTGTTCAGAATTTACTAGAGTAAGGATAGCCAACTCAGTCCATAATACAATCTAAGAGCAACACTGCAACTTCACTTCAGCACATTCCTCCTGAACAATTTAACCAGTTGAATCTGTGATTTTGCCTTCTTTTCTATTGTTCAAGGCAACACAAAGGCACATTTTAGCTCAATATTTTAGGAAAAAGAAAAAAAGACATTTCAAATGAGGAGATCTATTCCATAGTTAACAGAACTATTCAGGTAGAAGCTGAATGACTGTCAGGGCTCATAAACTCACAAAATTCCTAGACTCCTGCTCTCCCTCCCAAGGCTGAATCTTTGCTCCCATGTTCACTACAGCTAAGCACCCAGCCTCAGCCTGCACACCGCCAGGGAAAGGGAAAACACTTCATACCAAGATAGCCTTTTATCAACAACTCTAGTACTAAACCAAGTCTACTGCCTCCTTGCAACTTTCCCCCACTGGCCCTATTTCTGCCCTCTGGAGGCAGACAAAATAACAACTCTCACCTTCCACATGACTTCCCTTCCAACAAATTGACCATGCCTGTCATATGCTCCCTAAAAATTCTCTTTTCCTGGATAACCGTCTCCGACATGCTAAACTCATCGAGGATCTCTCCTCACCTTTTTTTTTTCACCACCTCTGAGGGCCTATTTGTTCAACATCTCTGGAAGTTGGGTATCCAGATTCCATTCATAATATTTCAGGAATTATCAGAACACAGCCATACAGAGTGGTAGCCTTTCCTGCAATCTAATATTATGCTAATTTTCTTAGCAGCCTCTTCAACCTACTAACTCATGCTTCTTCGTCCATTAAAC